TGACACGTTCGTGAACACTGAGCAGGGTTCAAGCGAGGAGGTCGCGAGACCCGCCTTGCGTGCGCCGGACATTGCGATTGAGATAGCTTACAAGCGACAACTGCTCTGCACTGACTTTACTAAATTGTAATCTTCTAAGGATCTATGGGGGAGACAGTCATTGGTGTTTGCCTCCTACAAGGAACGACAATACACAACCTATTGGCTCTCCGCATTCTAGACTTCTACCCGAAGTTACTCAACGATATATGCACTTCGGAAGATTATTATGGTAAGTTTCATTCTGCCAAATTCAAGAGGATTTCAGCAGAATTTCAGAATACTTTCCAAGGCGATGATTTTATGTTTTGTTAGCTGTAGGTCTAGGAGTCAACCATTTTAGGTCTGTCACCTCTTCATCAAGCAATCATTAATCATGATGTGGAAATGGTCAGCAAACTATTGCGACGAGGAGCTGACGTAGATCAGAGGTGCTCGCCGACTCCAACCTTTTCTCAAAATAAATGTCTCCATTTTTCCTAATCTTTCTAGAAAGTATTCCCAAAAAAAATGAAACGTGATTACTTCAAATGATCGGTAAATTTGAAAGATAATCTGGGGCGACAATACCCCTGTATATAATATATACAATACCTCAGCCCTTTTCTTTGATGATAACAAGTACTTTTCCTTCTCAAATGAAACATATGAAGGATTGGGTTCGAAAATAAGCAAATCAAAATTGATGTCTTGAAAAACCAGGCATTGAATCTTTTAGTGCATCCGGTAAATTATTCATGAGGAGATTCAAGTAACTGAAAAGGAAAATATTATAAGAGCTTGAGTTAATTTACGAGAACAAGCAACGCATTTTAGTTCAATGATCGAACAATTATTTTTAAGGTGTTATGGAGCTTTCTTCTGCGCAGATGATCAGAAAGGCAGCAGAACCGATAGTTTAGAGCACGAATACGTCGACCTCACAATGAACACCAATTACACAGGGTAGAATAGCATTATCTACACTCTTTAAAATATTATTTGGTGAGCGTTTTCCAGCACCATGTACTTTGGCGAATACCCGCTCTCTTTTGCTGTTTGCATGAACCAGCCGGATATGTTTCGTCTCTTAATGGCTAAGAAAGCAAATCTTAATGCTCAGGACACCAATGGGAATACTGTGCTGCACCTCTGTGTGATCCATGAGAAATTGGTAGGGCCCTCGTAGAAAAATTTCTAGCTTTTATCAGGGTAGTTTCCAGGAAATGATGAAGCTTGCACTGGAAGCTGGCGCACGATTACATATCAGCAACAAGCAGAATCTGACTCCTCTGACATTGGCTGCAAAACTAGCGAAGAAGAAGGTACTGTACTTATATCTTCTCTCCGTTCAAATAATCATAAGTCTACTAGGATTTTGAAGAAAGAATGACATAGACAACAATGGTTTTCCTTTACAACATAATGTTTTGATTTTGCAAAAAATGTTGAGGTGATACGAATGAGTCATTGAACAAAAAATTAAATTTCAAATTTTTTTGCTATGTACTAAGTGATGAAAATTCAATGAACGGGTGAGGATATGCAGACATTTACTTTCGTTAATGTATGGCTAATTCATAAATTTTTACCGAAGTTCTTAGAAAATTCTTCTGCAGATCTTTGATATGGTCCTGGAGCTTGAAGGACAAAGTGTGTGGGTCTATGGCGGAGCCAGTTGCTCAGCTTATCCATTGACAAAGATTGACACTATTAACGAAGTTACTGGAGAAATGAATGAGGAGTCTGCGCTGTCTTTGGTTGTCTATGGAGTGAGTTTTCATTCCTGGAATAGTGCCAAACCCACATAAGTACATTTCCAGAAAACTTCTGAACATCTAGAACTTCTCGACGGGATTCTAGAGAATATACTCAAAGAAAAATGGAAAGCGTATGGGAGGCAACAGTAGGTTCTTACATATTTATATTCTTTAGTCATCTAGGGATAATCTGTCGTTATAGTTGGCTTCAATCATTGATATCATTCATTATCTACTACATCATCTTTACCACCGCTTACATGCTTCGACCGATTTCAGCCACTACTGAGGTAAGAGTTGAAGCCTCCTTATTTCAAACAAGTGATGCAATGACGAAACTGTGCACGTTCGGTAATCCATTACCTGGAAGGATTCCTTTCTTTTTTACCATTTTTCAATGGTAAAAAAGAAAGGATTATCCAAACAGCTGAATTTCCCTTCTGAGTATGGCAAAAATATTATAAATTATATTACAAATTACAAATGATTGCAAACTATTTGCAATATCTTCTAGCAAAAAGGTTTTCGTAAAATTGGAG